CGCCCATAACTCGAGGTCACAAGTTTGAAAGTCATTATTGTTTATCCTGTTTAGAATCACTATCCACGCAAACGCTCTTACTCAAAGGAACTTTATCTTAACTTTGACTTAAGCTAATCTCCTTTTTCAAAAGAATCTCCTCAAACTCAAAAAATGCAATCTAGCCTATTGAACCCCAGTTAATCTGTTCTCAAACTCTAACTATCTATCAAAGTTGGCTATTAAGATCCTTCTTCTTAACCCGATTCATGCAGACAAACCGTTTTGCCAAGGCATTATTCGAAACTGTTGCTATATTAGTTGTTTAATCCTTTTCTAAGATAAAAAAGCAAATATTTTATAAAAAGGAAGAGATAATACATAATTGAGGATATTATAACCACCTCTTGTCTACCAACATTGAAATGTGGTGCAAAATGAGTTATGTCTAAATAGATTAGAAGTATTCTTTTAAATGTGAAATTATTATACTATTTAAGAATCTATTATTATAATACTTAGGAGTATTATTATAATTTTATAAACTTAGAATTTTTGTTCTTATTAGTATTTTCTTATTTCTATTAGGATTAGTATTTTTAATATCATTAGTATTAGTTTCTCATTATTATTACGGTTAATAAGGAGCATTTAGGAAGGAGAAAGAGTCTTAAAGAGAAAGAGTCTTAGAGAGAGAGAGAGAAAGAAAGAGAAACTTAGAGAGTTGCTTTGATGTTGTCTATGTGACCGCGATGGTACCGCTAAATAGGGTCATCTTTACGAGTCTCCAAAAGTTTATGGTGCCAGGGCAAAGTTCATTTGACGTCGTTGGAGAGGGTGAAGGGGTGAGAGTTTTCAAAAATGGGAGGAGAGTCCGAAAGTCGATTCTTTTTCAAAAGGGGGATGTTGAATGGCTCATGGGATGTTTCAAAGAATTTCGATGAGAGAAAGGAGAATAAGGATGGAGTAGATGCAGGCAGAGCCGAAACCAAATCCTCTAGATGGCTCTAAGCTCGATTAGGGGAGAGAAATACTTGGTTCTCTTTGAAGGTAACGTAGGAGGAGGAAGGGGGTTCAAGTAGATCTTCGTTCCGGAGGGAGAGAAGGTAGGTGGGTGGTGGCAATTTATGGAGGAAATTTTTGAAGTACAAGAGATTGAGCTAGTAGAACTAGAATGGGTGAAGGGGAAAGGGAGGGCGGAAGTAGGGCAGGGGAGTGTGGCCGATCTAAAGAGTTGTTCTTCTACAGGAACATTTTTTATTAGTTGCCCATGTTGTGGAGAAGAGATGGAAGTAAAGGTGAGCAGGAAAGAGACCGTGACTATAGCGACGATCCTCAAACATCCAATGCAAGTGAACCCTCGAGTAGGGCAGGAAAAACCCATACTCGCATCTGTACTCAATCCCAGTCAAGTTCAAAATGGAGGGGATAGAGGTCGTTTCGAGTCAAGGGATCAATAGGCCTTCTCGGCTTGTGTTGGGGCCAAATCCAATTTTCAAATTTTGAATAGTTCGTGCCCAGCCCAAAATGCAAGAGGGGAATGTCATTTTGGGAGAACTGATTTAATGAGAATTAATCATGGGCCTTCTGGTACACGAAATGGATTGAGAGTGGGCCACAAGTTCACATGGTTAGAGAAAGGTAATGGGTTGATGTTCCAAGCCGAAGCAAGGAGTCCAAATTGAAGTTAAGCCCAAGTGTCCGACTGGTTTAAAGGATAGTGAACCGAAGTCCGACTCGATGCTCTGAGCCAGTCCAGAAGGAAACATTATTCGAAAAAGAAAGATAAGCCGAGGGTGAGAAAGAAAAAGTCGAGCGGGAGGCGACAATGGAGGCGGATTTGGAGATTGTCGCATCCCGAGGCAAGATATCAAAGAGGAAGAGGAAGTTTCCACCAAGGGTGACAAGAAATTTGGCAAGGAAGGAGGTGGAGACACAATATTAAAAGATGCAGACAGTGGAAGTGTCGAGCATGGTAGTGCGACTTTGCGGCCCGAAGATACGATCAATTTGGTGGTCATTGATGGTCAAATCTACTACTGGATGGTGTGTGTTTCTCGGCGATACCCTTATCTCTTGGAAATGTAAGAAACAAGACTCTGTATCCAAGTCTTCTACTAAGACAAAGTATCGAACCATGTCTGCTGCATGCTCCGAGATCATTTGGTTGCGTGGTCTCTTTACAAATCTTGATTTCTCACAAGTTCAACCTACTCCACTACACGCTGACAACACCAGTGCGATCCAAATCGCTGCCAATCCTGTCTATCACGAAAGGACAAAACACATATAAATTGATTGTCACTCCATCCGGAAGGCATATGACCGTCAAGTTATTATCCTGACACATATATCCACCACTCTATAAATTGCATATCTCTTCACTAAATCTATGACACGTCAACGCCATAATTTTCTTATTAGCAAATTGACACTTGTAGATTTACCAGCATCAATTTGAGGGGGGATGTCAAAGGAATTAACTGGCAATTAATTAGGCAGCAGATTTTATACAATTAATCAGCATATATTATACAGTTAATCAGCAGATTTGTTATAATTATGCCAGCAGATTCTATGCAATTAACCAACATTTATGGCAGCAAATTCTATGCAATTAATTAGTAGATTTCAAACAATTATGACAGCAAATTATGTAATTAATTAGCCAGTAGATATTATATCTAATTTTATGATTTGTATACCTTTAATAACTTTAATTATGACAAATTTGTTTAGTTAATTTAAGGACAGAAAATTACCTTGTATATTTGTATATATAATAAGAATTCTCTTCCATGAAGGACACACAAAAAATTTTCTACTCAAAATCTCTTAAATTGTCACTAATATCATTGGTTTTTTTTAATATCATTAGTATTACTTTTTTTATTCTTATTAAGGTTAATATTCCTAATTCTACTGATTTATTATTTTTTATTTTAATTCTAATTAGAAAAAGATACTATAAATAGTTTTGTGATTTCACTTATTGATCTTCCATGTATTCAGTAATAATTTGTTAAGAATTTCTCATAATTGGTTGTGTGATTCAATCAAACTTTGTTATGATGCCTGAGGACCCTAAATATGATATTTAGGTTTAATCCCCAATTTCTTAGTAGGTAAATGAACCTTAATTTATCCTACATCAAAATGGTAACAAGGAATCCAATAGATCATAGATCATTATCTTGTATCAGTTGCCTAGTGTTTAAAGGAGCAGAACTAGTAGTGTACATACATCCATGTAAACTCTACATAAAATCAGACTTTAATTATACAAATAAGATTATTCAGGAGAATTTTCTCTAATTTCTGGAAAAATCAGAAACTTTAACCCAATTGCTGATCAATCCTATATTTTACCCCATAACTTCCCTCTCTCTGCCAACATCATCAAGACAGATGAAAGGCGGTCACTATACCTGCATACCCGTTAAACTTGTCAAGGTGAGGTACATGCAACCATTTGGGACAATCAAGATTCAAATTGATACCAGCAACATTCTGCACTTAAAACATAAAAGCAATGAATCAGAAAATGTACCATAGTCTTTCTTTCATACTTTTCTAAAGCACAGACCCTTAGAAATATGGTTTATGCGGCTATGTCGTGACTTTTGTACATAAAAGAAAAGAGAGATGGGAACACATTAAAATCTTAATTAAAAGGGAAATTAATAACTGAATTTCAGGAATAGTTTCAAAATTCAAAATAGAAGATACATTTTGGTGGAAGAGGCTCTTTTAATAGAAAAGGAGGACATTCAAGGGTAGGCAGAGTTTCTATTGTAAATAGTACTTCCACAGCTGATAAAACCACATTAGCGAATCCTTTTTTAATAGAAAAAACAATATAGAACAAGATTATCTGAATTCCAACATATTGAAAACAAGAGAAAAATCAACGGGGAAAAGTGGCAGAAGCAAAAAGTATTTCCGAAACTGAAAAATAAAATTAATATGCTTCTTCTTTGTTCTTTTTCTCACCAAATGGGAGGAATTTAGAAGTATGTCTATGCACACGACTTAGCAGCAGAAGGCTTCAGCTTTAAGATTAACAATATGTTCAAAGCAGTAAGGTTTTTTTCTGGTCTTGTAAAAAAAAATAAAAAATAAAAAGCACCCAAAAGCAAAGAGACTTAAGCAAAAAATCAATACCTGCATTCCAAAAAAGGCAAACCAATAAAACCATCAACAACCAAAATAGAAGTTGACACAAGAGGGGTATAAAGGTAGGAGTTGACACTAGCAACAACCAGACACCACTATACACCACTTGAACCCAATAGAATGTAAAAAGTAGGAAATATCGGTAAAACTAACAACTTTTTTTCCAAATTTACTCACCCATAAATTTAGGAAATGTCTAAAGATTTGCACTGTATGCCTCCAAATGAAAGAAAGTCGCCTGTACCACTTTTTGCCGAAGTGAAGAATTGCTGTTTTAAAAGTCTCCTTGGCAGATAAGGAAAATCTTCCACGTGGCTCCTCCTTATCCGTTTTAGCAACTGGATCATCAAAGTTCCAAGTATTGGTAGAGCTTTCAGCTTGATGTTCTATTTCAATATCACTCTTCCAGAACTTCAATGCTAATTTGCCCCTCCTGGCATTAGAACCAATCCAATTCAACCAAAACTTGGCAGCAAAAATTGTTAATCCATTTTCATTTACATTTGTAACTTTCAAGCTATCAGCTACAGCTTCTAAACAAGGATATCCGCAATACTAGTTTCAGACTTGTTCTGCAACCACAAGCCTGCACT